CTGTCATACTGGATACGGTCGCACGGCTGGCTGGAACGTTCCGGTGTCAGCCCTGATGGAGAGGGGACTGATCCACCCTGAGCACTGTGAAATTCCACGAGGTTGGTGTGACCATGTGTGTGTGTGTGTGTGTGTGTGTGTGTGTGTGTCACAGAGGTTTGATTTCAAGAAAGCATGTAAATCCTTGAGGCGAAGTTTGAAAAATGCATTATCAGAATTTAGCTTTATTTTTTCCCCTAAAGTTTAAAACATGGTACATTGCACAACTCTCTGAGGCAGAAAACTGGATTGATTGATTTGTTCATATTTATTAAAACCACCGCACGTGAAATGGCATCAGGGCTTCTTTTCAAGATTTCTGGTCAACTGTGGCACGGAAACGGCTGAACCGATCAATGTGAAATTTAAGAGTGAGGGGTCTCTGCAGTGGGTTTTGTCCTGTGGGGAGAGACGGCCCTATCGTGATTGGCAGAGGTTTCAATGTGGGCGGAGATGACCCAAGAGACGTGATTGGTCGGATTGACGGTGGGGTTTGTGGAGGCTGGAGGCAGCAGGGAGTAGCTTGATCGAGTCGGGCAGGAAGCAACGTTTTTTTAAGATTAATTTTAGTCATAACTTGAGAAAGGAAAGTGCTAGCTGCACGGAATTTGAACGTCATACATGCGAAAGGATGTGTAACAATATGGCCTGTTGAAACATCCCTGAACAACCCTGTAAAAAGATCGTTAAAAATCAATATTTTTTTAAAGGCTGGTTAGGGTTTTTTTAACAAAGCCATATTGTTACACATCCTTTCACATGTACGTTGTTTAAATTTCGTTCAGCTAGCACTTCCCTTTCTCAAGTTATGACTAAAATTAATTTAAAAAAACGTTGCTTCCTGCCCGACACAACCAAGCTACACCCACTGGCTGTGTCCAAAACGGCAGGCCGGGTCCTCCGAAGGTCGAATTCGTCGGCCGCATACGTCACAGCGCCGCGACGAAGGACGTCCAAAACCGAAGACTCCTCCGATGCGGCCGACAAATACAGTACGTCCTTCCTTTGGCCCGAATCGAAGGACAGGTCCGATGGATCCTTCCCGGCCCAGCATATCCCATAATGCATTGCGGCCCGACCGGAGATTTTTTTATGCTAGTAATGGCGGATGAAGCAAGAGAAAAGAATACGTTTTAAATAAAAATATGGTGATATAAAAAATAAAAAAAATTAGCGGTTGTAATTCTAATACTTTTATCATTTGTATGGACATGTTTTTAAATATTATTTTTTCGTCATAAAAAACGCGAAATAAACATGAACCTACAGCGGGTCAATTAGTTCTTCAAATGATACCTTTAAGTTAATTTTATAGTTTTGTGATATTAATAATGCTATTGTATTGATATTTTTCTAGTTTTGATTTAAGTTTGCTTGTTTAGCATCGTCACAGTTGCTAGGTGACAAGACGTACGCCGGGGTAAGGAGGGGAGACTAGACCGTCCAAATTCACAGCCTCTTTTTTTCCGGTCTTCTCGGTCTACCAAGGACCCTGCCCCCCGCGACCGTGTAGTCTGGGTCCTCCGGAGGACCCGGCCTGTCGTTTTGGACACAGCCACTGCCTCCAGCCTCATATCCCACCGTCAATCCGACCAATCACATCTCTTGGGCCATCTCCGCCCACATTAAGACCTCCGCCAATCACGAGCAGGGACGTCTCCGCCCACATCAACACCTCCGCCAATCACGAGCAGGGACGTCTCCGCCCACATTAAGACCTCGGCCAATGACGATTCGTGCCATCTCCGCCCACAGGACCACGCCTTCTGCAGAGACCCCTACTTGAAATTTGGCAGGAATGTACCGGTAGATTTGTCCGACCTACACTGAGCCAGCCAACGGTTTTACAATAGACCCTATTTGAGGAAGGGGGGCTCCATCTGAAAAGGGACTGTCTGGATATACAAAAATGCTTATAACTCGAAAACTATTCAACATGGGAGCTTCCGATGTTTTTGTTTAGCTCTGATGAAAGGCTTTCCATCGAGCCCACCAATGAGCACATCCCACCTGACACCCACCAAAAACAATAAATCCATTCTGATGACTTCTTAGCAGTCTTAGCAGCTAGAGGGCCATCTTTTGGTCACTCTGATTTTTTTTATGCCTTCTTTCGGTGTGGCGACATCTCATGACGCCCTCGGGCCACTGTGCCGATCTTTGACATTTCTATATGTAAGTTGTTTGTATTTTTCTTTCCGTAAATCTTGTAAACTTTTGTGGCTGCAGTTATTTTATGCAGCCAGAAGAAGACACACAAGGCAATTGGATAGAGGAGCTTGGAAGCGATGCTATAGCTTCAGTAGTTGTTGTCAAAATAACTCTCCATCCGAAAGTTTTTCTTCACTGTGTAAAATCATTTCTTTAAGTGGGGGCTGTTAAGTGTGTGTTTTATTTTTATTTTATTTATTTTTTTACAAAATTCCACCTACTGTAAAAGCCTGCTTCTGATTTCTGGTGCACTGGTGCTTTGTGTATATCTCTATGCGGTGTCTAATTTGTCGTAAACTTAGGGACTGAATTGTCTACATTAGTTTTATTTAAATTAGTGTATTTTTTCATTTGTTCAGATCCTCCTCCATTTCACAAACTGACAGATGAAACAACATTTATTTAGTTTAAAAAAGTTTGGTTATAGTGTGACTTTATTCATTTATTTATTTTCAGACTTGAAGCTCTTTTAGAATAGAATATGCTCATATACATAGATTTCCATCCCTGATCTTAGAGCTAAAATCTTTAGGGCGACTCAGAAAGGGTGACTATTTTCCTCATCTTTGAACACTCATTTTGTCTTTTTTGTCTTTTCGTGACATCAAGCGGTGGGAGGATTCTTCAAACAGAGCTGTATACCTGGCGCCAATCAACCTGGTTTTCCTGACAACCTGTGTGATCTGTGTGTGGGAGACAGCTCAGGACAGAATAAATGTGAAAAAGGCAAAGACCTGTATGATGGATACGATGGAGCCTTCAGGTACTTCAGTATTGCTCGTCTCTCGAAATTTGAGATTTAAAAATAATGGTTCGCTTTATTTATTTTTGTTGTTGTTCGTTCAGGTGTCTGGCTACTGGAAAGGGAGACGTAGCTTTTGTCAAACATACCACTGTCTTCCAAAACACTGACGGTAAGAGAGTTTCCATCAAGATTTCTTTTTGAATGACCCATAAACCCAGGATTGACCTCGACTGGTTGTCCCTTTTAAGGCAACTCATCTGAATCCTGGGCTGTAGACCTTCAGTCCAAAAATTTCCAGCTGCTGTGCACGCAGAACACCAAAGCTGAGGTGTCGCAGTACAGACACTGTAATTTGGCCAGAGTGCCTTCTCACGCTGTAATGGTCCGACCAGATACCAACATCCATGCCGTCTATGGGCTTCTGGCTCATGCACAGGTGAGACTGTACATAAAGAGCTTTTAAATGTCTAAGGATGAGTGAGAAAGTCAGAGATTTGAGGTTATTAGTGTGAAGTCTCAGTAACTTTTATAATATGATCAAAATTAAGACTATTGCACAACCAGTGGTGGCTACATCCTTGTAGCAGGAGGCTATATCTATTCCTAATCCAGCTATTGATCTGATTAATGATAGGCCAGCACTGGTAACTGGCAGGCCGGCGCTGGCAAATGAGGAGTCTATTCATTTGTGTTAGCATTGGAGGGGCTAGCAAAATTTTAAACATAAAATATATTACTATGAAGCAGACAGCTTTCGTTACCAGCTGAATTAGCAGCTGTGTTTATCCTTGTCTACTGGTTGATGGCACATATGGAAAGAGGGAAAAAAACACTGCTGTCAACCAATAGAAAAGGACAAACACAGCTGCTAATTCAGGTGGTAACTAAAGCTGTCTGCTTCATTGTAACGTTTTATGTTTAAAATTTATGCTTGATGTCATGTTGAACAGTAAATTCTGTCTAAGGAACACCTGTTAGTTCATGTCGCTTATAGGTTTTGAATGTCAACCATTTTTGTTGAGAAAGTTTTCTTTATTCAGAAACGTTTGTGTCTAATATAGGAGATGAGCAGCCTGAGCATGCTAGTTGCTAACCTCTCCAATGCTAAAACCAACTTAACCATGCTAGTCGCTAGCCTCTCCAATGCTAATGACAACTCATCCATGCTAATAAGCGGAGGGAGTTAGCAATCCAGTGGGTCACTAGCCTAGGCATGCTAGTCACTAGCTTCTCCAATGCTAACGCCAGCTTATCCATGCTAGTCACTAGCCTCTCCAATGCTAACGCCAGCTTATCCATGCTAGTCACTAGCCTCTCCAATGCTAACGCCAGCTTATCCATGCTAGTCGCTAACCTCTCCAATGCTAACGCCAGCTTATCCATGCTAGTCGCTAGCCTCTCCAATGCTAACGCCAGCTTAGTAGTCGCTAGCCTCTCCAATGCTAACGCCAGCTTAGTAGTCACTAGCCTATCCAATGCTAACGCCAAGTTATCAATGTTAGTCACCCGCCTCTCTGATACTAGAGTAAATTAATAGTCTCCTTATCATTTGCCAGCGCCGTCCTCAAAAGCTGGCTTAGAAATAGATATAGCCTCCTGAGTCCTGCTACAAGGATGTAGCGACCACTGGTTGAGCAGTAGTCTTAAGTTTGGCCCTCATATCATGCCATACCATGATGCATCACAAACAAATGAGCCAAGAATGAACTTTATTTTGTTTGCAGTGTTTCAACCTTACAGGTTTGATAAAAAGATATCATACACGTGATTATTTAGTTCCTCTTTACGGATAATCCCATAATATTACTTTTTCATGAGTCCTCTTGCAGGCATATTTTGGGAGCGACCTGGGTTCTGCTTTCAAGATGTTTGACTCCAAGACCTACACCGGCACAGACCTCATTTTTAAAGACTCCACCATTCAGATGGTGGCGGTGGGCGACAGGAAGACCTACCAGGAGTGGCTGGGTCAGGCTTACCTGAACGCACTGATCGACATGGAATGCAGCTCATCAGGCGCAGGTAAACGCGGCGCAAAGGGAAAATTCTTTGACTCACCCAAAGGATTTTGGTAATATCTGACTGTTTTGGTACAAACTTCAAGTTTTGTTTTTTCTGTATTACAGTGGTCTCATCGGTGTGGCTGCTGCTGCTGGCCCTGCTGAGCACGGCTCTGGCCAACATCTAAAAGTGACCAAATCTACCACCTCGTTTCTTTCTATTCAGTTTATTATTTTTCTTCTTTTATTTTTTTTTTCTCTTTTGTTTCATCAAATTCGACACAAGGTTACTCAACTTAATTTCCATCCAGATGGTGCCGCCCTTAAAGAAAATCAAACAAGTTTTTTTGGCCAAGACTCGAGTTATTTTAACCAGCGTGAGGACGATGGAAGGTGCTGTTGCCACTTTGTTTACGGAAGGTGGGCTGCCATATCAGTGTGTATGCTGCCACCTGTTACATTTCTTTTTCTGGTGCATCACTGCCTCTCCAGATCTTTAAGTTTGCGAGGGTTGCCACCTCAAGCGAGCTCACACAAAATCTTTGGCAACAGTTTTACGCCGGATTTACCTAAAACTAAAACCAAACTCCCCAGTATTAGAGGGTTTGTGTTGATTAAAGACAAATCAGATTGTTTAGAAGTGAATAAAATACACGATTTACTCATGTTTACATGACAAACTTGTCTGATTCCATCAGAAATGAGGTATAAACAAGACAATGAGGGGTTGTTTTGTTTTATTTTTATGGATTACTCATCAAGCGCTAAGAAAAAATATTTGTTTTAGTAATTGTTGAAGTTTATTCGAATTTTGTTTGAATCAAAGAAAAAAATGTGTAGACTATAGTTAAAATGCAGTATTTGTTAAAATTACTCGTCTCCTGACCGAAACACCTCACTTAAAAAAAAATCTTAAGCTAACCTGTTCTCATCATTCAGCTGCTTGATACCATTTCCTGTTTTAAAATGTTGATTGCGTTTGTATTTTCCTGTTTTGTTGAGAGATATATTTTTATATGAAGCTCAGGTGCCATATCAGTGTATATGTACTGACTCATGCTGTCAGACTGCCTTCTCTTCCTTCTGATAGAGACATATTTCGATGTGAAATGAACAAATGTGACTAATATTTAGTTGCCAGACCAGTGCGTCTGCATAAGTATTACTGCTAAATTGACTGTTTGTGCTTGTCTAAATAAAATAAACCTATACAGCAAACCACACAATGAAGCAGCTCTTCGTTATTCACTGTTATTAGTTTTCTGCACTTTTTTTTTTTTGCAAAGTTTGTGTCAAATCATAAGTGGATGATTTCATTATTAGATCCTGATGATTTTATCCACTCATTAATTGTCCTTCTTATTATCCCATGTTTTTTTTCTCCAAACTGTAATTTCCCTTCATTGGATCAGTTTCATTCTTTAATTTACAGCACTGTTGAATAAAAATACATAAGAGTTTCACAAAAATCATAGCTACAAATTCAAAATTTACTATTACTACATACGCACATTACCATAAGTATTACTTTCATAACAAGAAACATTTACTTGGAAAAGTGTTTCTTCTGCTGGACAATGGGCCTCATGCAAGAACCGTTCATACACACAGATTTGTTCTTAAGTTGTGCGTACGAGTGATTTAGGAGAATTTGTGGCATTCACCAATGT